ACACAGATGGGTCTTTTTTTTTTTTTTTTTGAGTCGGAGTCTCACTCTGTTGACAAGGCTGGAGCGCAGTGGCACATTCACGGCCACCACAGTCTCCACCTGCTGGATTGAGGTGATCCTTCTGCTTCAGCCATCCACGTAACTGGAACTACAGGTGTGTGCCACCATGCCCGGCTAATTTTTGTTTGATGTATTGTAGAGACGAGGTCTTGTCATGTTGCCCAGGCCCGTTTTGAACCTGTGGGTTCAGGCAATCCCCTCGCCTCTGTCTCCCAAAGTGCTGGGATTACAGAAGTGAGCCACTGAGCCCGGCAGATGGGTCTTCATAATATAATATACCTCCTAGGATCAATATGTAGAAATAAAAAATATCTGATCACCTCTCATCTCTCTCCAAGTCTGTATATGAACTAGAACCTTTACATCTTTCTAAAATCACATAAGTTTCAGAAACAAAAGAACTCTTATGTATTCTGAAACTTTAAATTCACAATGTATCTGTGGGTGGGTACTTCCTTCTAACCTCTGGTTTCCCCAGGTATCAAGAGAATCTGGTGAGCAAAGAAAGATGGCAGCATTAGCTCCAAAGTATATATCCATAGCAAAAATGCAGTTATTAAAAAATATTCAGAGCTCTTTATTACTAAATAAAACCATGAGGTTTCAAGTTGACAGTAAAGCCCCTAAGTTTTAAGTTTTAAGAAGTCACTTTGGGAGGCTGAGGTGAGAAGACTGCCTGAGCCCATGAGTTCGAAATCAGCCTGGGCAACTTGGTGAGACCTCATCTCTACAATTAATAAAAAAAAATAGCTGGGTGTAGTGGTGCGTGCCTGTAGTTCCAGTTACTTGGAAGGCTGAGGTGGAAGGATCACCTGAGCCCAGCAGGTCGAGACTGTGGTGGCCGTGAGCATGCCACTGCACTCCAGCCTGGGCGATAAAGTGAGAAACCAACTAAAAAAAAAAAAAGTCACTTTTGATAATCCCTTGATGATGAACGAAAATGGCTATTTTCTATGAAATTGAGTAAACATCTATTCCTTGCTTTTCCTAACTTGTGCTCCTTTAATCTACCCCAATTATTTAACATAGCCTTTTAGTCCTTGTCAAATTCATCTCTGCACATCTCTTCAATACTCCAAGCTTATTTCTTCCCAATTTTCTACAAGGGAAACAGTCATTCCCTTTTGTTATTTTATTTCACAACACTTAGTTCTGTCTCTCTTGTGCACTATTTGGGGCCCTTGGGCTGAGATTATGTGCTGTCGTGATCACATCTGTTTTCTCAGCCCCTCCACCCACAGGAAACTTTTGAATGTTAGGCCCTTTCTTACTTAAATATGTATTTCTCCACTCTCAGGTTCCCTCCCGCCCCCCATCTTTTAGTAGATTCTTTAAAAATGTTTGCTAAATTTAATATCTACCTTTGATGTAGTTCTCTCACTTGTAATGCTGGTCTGCTTTAGGGCCCACCTCCCTCAAAGATACTTTCTTAGACTACTTATGCTTAAGTTTGAAAAAGTGGTTTTTTTTTGCCTTTTAGGTGAGGACATGTTGTCTGAAGTAAATTGACAGTTACTGAAAGTCTCTGTCACAGTCTTCTGCTTTTTTTAGTCGGGGTCTCACTCTATCATCCAGGCTGGAGTGCAGTGGCACAATCAGGCTCACCACAGCCTCAACCTCCTGGGCTCAGAAGATCCTTTTGCTTCAGCCTCCCAAGTAGCTGGGACTATAGGCCGGCACCACCACACCCGGCTAATTTAAAAAAATTTTTTGTAGAGACAAGGTTTTGCTGTGTTGTCTAGGCTGGTCCTGAACGCCTGACCTCAAGTGGTCTTGAATGCCTGACCTCAGCCTCTGCTGGATTATAGGTGTAAGCCACAGCAACTAGCCATAGTCATCTGCTTTTTAGGTGTATGGAATCTTTTTCCTGAAGGCAGACAGGAGATGATAATTGTCTGCTCTGTGCAAGTCACAGTACTAGATGTTTTATGAACAAAATCTTGTTTCCTCTGTTAAACACCCAACACAATGAGTTGGGGCACAAGCCCAGAGTTATTGGGCCAAAATTATACTGACAGTAAGTGGCAGAAGTGGAATTTAAGCCTAGATCTGCCTAATTTCAAAGTCCACGCACTTCCCGAGTTTACAGTCTCGTTAGGGAATAAGGGAAATAACAGGCATGAGTATTATAAACACATGCTGTAGTAATTCTGATTTTAGAGAGACCTCACCAGCGTTCCCTAATCTGGGTGGGGGATGGGGTAGGAGTGAAGGTTTGCGAAATAAACAAAAAAGATTTCTTGTCAAAGATGAAGACGTCGGGCCACGTCGCTTTACTGTGGATCTGCTTCCAATGTTTACAAACTTTGCAAAGAGTGACTTGTCACCAGGAACTTCAGGGACAGGACCTGACAGCTAGATGAAGCTCCAATCTTGACCAGATCCTCACCCATCTCTCTCGACCCGGAGAGGACTGACCGACAGACACACTTTCCTCCCCTCCTTTCAAGTCCCCCCAGACGTCTCCCGTCCCCAGCCCGTGCTCCAGGGGCGTCACAAAGGAGGAATGGACCCCCCTCCCCCGCCGTATCCCATTCCCCGGTCCCGGGCGCCGGGGGAGACTTACTGCCGAAGCCTTTGGCCTGGTGGAGGAGCTCCTGGTCCCCTGCTTGCTGCTGCTCCTCCGCAGCGGACTTCGCCACCGCCTTGGATGACTGCTCGGGTGGCGCGTCTCCCTCAGGTGGCCCGTCTCCCTCGGACTGTCCGCCGTCCGTCGCAGGCTGCTGCAAGCCCAACCAGCTGCTCAGACCCCGAAACATCCCGTCCGCGGGGCCACCGCCGCGGTCCCGCACCCCGGATACCCCAGCTAGTGCCGCCTGCCTCGGGCTCCACTAAAGGCGTCTCTCAAAGAGCTGGCCGGAAGTCGGCGGGAGCCCGGCGCAGACAGCCCAGACGTCACCCCGCCTCTATGACGCCGCCGCCGGCCCGAACGCGTCACTTCCGCCCAAAGCCTCCGCCCCATGGTCACGTGGATTGCGATACTTTGTTTTTCACGTGGAAAAGGGACAAAGGGCTTGCCTCATGTAGCCCCGCCCCGCCCCGCCCCGCCTCGCTGCTTTTCCTCCACCCCTGCTTTGTAGGTAACCGAGTTAGGCGTGTGGACGGCGTCTTTATCACAGCCTTACCAGTTCTCATTTTCTGGTTTACTCTAAGCTGCTTGGCTAGTGACTTAGCCATATCTTTTCAGGTCAAGGTGGGCTGGGCTCCCGCAGAAATGGATGTCTTTAGCCGTCTCCTGATCCCAAGTCAAAACTAACCTAAGGCTTCCAAGTTCAATTTACAGAAATACAGAGGAAGGTGAAACCCCAAGATGGGATGCTGTCAGCAGAATCTAGACTATGAGAAACCACAGGACAATGACCCTGCTTCTTCAAATAAGTTGCAAGGAAGTAAGGGTGGAGTGGGGAATATAATCTATTGATTAAAAAAGACGTAACCCATGATTACTTGTATATTTTATTAGAATCTTAACTCAGCAAACACATTTTAAAAAGTGACACAAAAATTGAAAATCTGGACATTGGGTAGTTGATAAAATTAAGGAATTTTGAAAGTAAAAAAAAAATTTATCTGTAAGATACACAAAATTTACCATCTTATGTAAGATTTACAATCTTAACAATTTTCAAGTATACAATTCAGTAATATTAAGTACATTCACATTGTTCTGCGATCTCCAGAACTTTTTTCATTTTGCAAAACTGAAATTGTACCTATTAAACAACTCCCCATTTTTGTGTCCTATTCCTCCTGCCTCCAACCACCATTCTACTTTGTCTCTGTGGGTCTGACTAGATACCTCATATGAGTGGACTCATTCAGTATTTGTCTTTTTGTGACTGACTTCTTTCACTTAGCATAATATCCTCAAGGTTCATCCATGTTCTGCCATGCATCAATTTCCTTTCTTTTTAAGGCTGAATAGTAGTCCCTTGTATGTATATACCACATTTTGTTTATCCATTCATAAGTGAGTGGACACAGGAATTATTAACTTTTAAATTGTATTAATGGTGTTGTATGTGTGTGTGTGTCTGAAGGAGTTATCTTTTACAGAGTCTTATTGAGATGTTCACCAAAGAAATGATACCATGTCTGGAATTTGCTTTAAATTATCTCTCTCTCTCTTTTTTTTAAATTTTAGAGGCGAGGTCTCACCAAGTTGCCCAGGCTGGTCTTGGACCCTGAGCTCAGGCGATCTTCTCTCCACGTCCGGCTTGGAATTTGCTTTTAATAAATACAGAGGCCAGGCGAGGTGGCTCACTTCTATAATCCCAGCACTTTGGGAAGCCAAGGTGAGAAGACTGCTTGAGCTCACGGGTTCGAGACCAGCCTGGGCAAATTGAAGAGACCTCATCTCTACAATAAATCAAGAAAAATTAGCTGGGCGTGATGGCGCATGCCTGTAGTTCCAGCTACTTGGAAGGCTGAGGTGGAAGGATCGCCTGAGACCAGCAGGTTGAGGCTTCAGTGCCACTGCACTTCAGCCTGAGTGACAGAGTGAGACTCCAACTCAAAAACTAACTAACTAAATAAACAAATACAGGATGGAGGGAAATGAGTGGGGATATAGGTGAAACAGGCCTGGCCATGGGTTGGTAGTTGTTGAGCCTGGTAATCATACATTTATGTCTACTTTTCCATCTTTTTAACTTTTCCCCCAATAACATGTAAAACAAATAAATAAAAATTGGGCTATGTGAAAAACTATTCCTTCTGGCAGGGAGTTCATGAACACATTTTCCAAGCACAGTCTCCAGTCATCTGTTGTGGAAGGACACCCAAGATTCCTCTCCACACCTAACCATTTTGAGAATAGGACAGTTACACTGACCTGAGAAAGTACGTGGGGAACTGATTATAATTCTGATTTCCCTGCTGTTCAGTTTTCCAACCTCACCTATATTTGCATTTCATTTGGATCCAGGATTTTAGCTTAACAAGTTCAACTTGTTTTTTTCCTTAACAGTTTTATTAAGATATAATTCACATACCTTATAATTCACCTGTTTAAACTGTACAATTCAATGGTATTTTAGGTTTATTACACTATTAATATTTTAAATTGTGGTAAAATACACATAACAAAATTTGCCATTGTAACTATTTTTTAGTGTACAATTTGGTGGCATTAATGACATTTCAACCTGTTTTTCCAGTTCCAGCTTTGAAAATCAGGAAATGACTTAACACCAATGCCTTTCTAGTCTTTATTAAGTCAGTGAGGACCTGAAAGTGGCCAATACTTTCCAGAAAAGGATATTTGTTGCAAGTATGACTAAAAGGAACTTAGAATTTGAGTGAGAAGCCTAGGATGGGGGCTCTAACTCTATGATCTAGTAGGAGAACAAAGTTGCCTTTTTTGGGGGGTGGGGGGAGAGAGTCTCACTCTGTAGCTCAGGCTCGAGTGCAGTGGCAGCATTATAGCGCACCGCAGCCTTCAATTCCTAGGCTTAAGTGTTCCTTCTGCCTCAGTCTCTTGAGTAGCTATGACTACAGGTATGTGCCACGACACCTGGCTAATTAAAAAAAAAACAGGCCGGGCTCGGTGGCTCAGCCTGTAATCCCGCACCTTTGGGAGGCTG